ATTCCGTTTAATAATTAAGGTTCAGCGATGTTTCTAATCGACTTTTTTGGTTGGGTCGGTGCACTGCGTGAGAACGTTCTCTTTTTGCTCATATATCACACATCAATTGGCATTATTATATTCGCCGAAATGTCGTTCATCATTTTATTCACAATTGAACAACAACATTTCGCTACGGTTATTATAAAGACTGTACTTAATGACACGGTATGCTTTCAGTTTCGATTTCAATTGAGGAAGTCGTAGACATCGATTAAATATCGGGCTGTTATCGCTTAAATGCTTTGGTGCAAATAGTGCTTATTTCTAATCAATACGGAATGCAAATCTCAATCGATCTTCATCAGAACCGTTTTGGCGATCAAGAATTGTCTGAATCCATGAACGGCTGAATAGCTCTGTCCTCATACGCGGAATGAATAAATAATCTATCGAGCACGATTCCTTCTGATGACCTTTGTGGAAGTCTGGTTGAGGATCTGAGAGCATACCGTTCTCGCGNGAGCACGATTCCTTCTGATGACCTTTGTGGAAGTCTGGTTGAGGATCTGAGAGCATACCGTTCTCGCGCTCGAAAGAAATCCTACAAGAGCGTTTCCTATCGAAAAACCTCTCTTGCCTCAGTCGCATTATTGTTTCTCGGTTACACTCGAAACGAATCTCATGAATACGATCACAATCGAGTGCTACTCCGTATAGATGATTTTAACCGTTAATTACAGCCATTCAGATGTTCAAAACGTTCTGAAAACAAATTCAAAAGATGAATTTCTGATTTGCTCGAAAACGTCAAACATTTAAGATAATAAATTACCGCGATGACTTGGATATGCGTGATTTCGTTGACTGGTCACAATCCGCACTCGAGTGTTGTGGCCTCTGGAGTGCTGATGATTGGAATGAGAATGTTTACTTCAGCGATGAAGCGGCACTGAAAATTTACCAGTCACCCGAGGCTGGTGGTGTACCATTCTCGTGTTGTATCAATAAGACTACAGCTGGGATTATCAATAGGGCTTGTGGCTATAACGCTCGGAAAGGAAAGGTCAATCATATGTTCTATTAACTTGTGAATGACTAATCATTTTAGATTATTCCACTGATCGCTTTTTGTTTTCATTCGGTTGAGGTGAATACTGACTAACTGATTCCATTTTATTCATTCATTTATGAGCCCTTTCTCGATTGGATAATCACTTCCATGCTAGACTGCTCACAATGAAGTACTGTCATAACGACCAAAACTTTTCAGTCGTTACACGGTTACAATTACGGTCGTTTCGAATGAAATACCCCACTAATTTATTTTTCAATGGTTCAATGGTCCTAGAGCAGAGTGAATTGATTATCTCCTGTCGTAACACTGACACTGAGATTTTAAACAACCCTCCAATTTCATCAATTCACAGTCACTGTAAGAGGAATGGAAACATATATAGAAGTGGTTCTTACTCTCTTGCGTTCCGTACCTTCCTTTCGATGTACGACAAAACACTCCCATGACAGATTGCTACCTCATACCAACGAATCAACAGAAAATCGGAGAATGAATCCACTGATCAAGAAGTTTTCTGCCAAAAATTTGTCGATTGAATCGAAGGAATCAATTTCTTCTTATCAAAAAATTATTTTGATACCATTAGGCAGAAAAAAATCAATCAACAGCGTCTTGTTTACTTGTTTAATCCTCCTCTAGGTACCCTGTAATCCTCTCAAGAGAGAGCATTAAGGAGGAAATGCGCAATTTGGAGGAGATATATTAAAGCAGGAAAAAATTCGTAGAGTTGCCACTGCTAACAAGATGGACGTTCGAACGACTGGGTATGGATGAGGGAAAATGATTTGTGACATATGTGAAATTTAAGGGAAGGTTGCTGAATGGATATAAAGTTTACAAAAATATTCATAAACGTGGCTGTATAGAAGCGTTTAAGAAAGTAATGCTCAACTATATGTACATTATTATGCCAGCTGCCCTCATCATCATCATGATAGAGGTATCCCTATTAAACGATCACTTTACAACTTTATCCTTCATTAGTATCAGTTCTGCAGGAGTTCCAAGACGAGTGGTTTCTATCACCAATGCTTCAATAACAGTTCATCATGTTTGTACTGCTTGTTATTGCACAAAATTAGATGTATTTCCAGGTTATTTGTGTTGTCTTGTCAAAAGCGCTCATGTGGATGATATTGGAACAACGTGAACGTTGGTATGAGCAGAAATTTTGAGTGAAGCTTAATTGTTTCGTTTTAATGAAATATCAGCACTTCGATGATTTGTTGATTTTTGTTTGTTTGGCTTTATTGTGCATGCACTTAATAAAGTTTGCAATTCTACTCATCCTGTTTTCGAATTTATAACTATCAATCGCAGATGATAACGCGGTTTTGAATTCCGATAACAATTTCTCATCAACAGAAAACAATTTCGACTATCCGAACGCCACTTCGTTACAAGTAGTGCTGATTAGCACCAGTAATCGACATGAATCTTGAAAGTTCGAGCCACTTTCTTGACCGCTTATCAACTATTACACTCTGTACAATCCATATAGGAAATACCGCACGTTATTTCGATTGCAACATTTTATTATCTGATTGTCAAATGCCAAACTATTCATTTTCAGCAACAGCGAACGCAACTACTAAAATCTGCTTTACGCATGGCATTTTTCGGTCCATTTGGTGTCGCCGACAATTTTTAGCCCGAATTAATAGATGATGACTCAAGTTAAATGCTACCCAGCCAATTGGGCACTATGTGCGTGGACATGATGCCTAACGAGAATTAGTCTCCAACAAAGTTTTCAAAAAAAACGACGATTTGTAAATTGGCGACGCAAGGGACGCAAGGGATGTACTGANTAACAGTACTCTACAGGAGAATCTTATCTATTAGTTCATACGACGAGAAGCTTCCGTTCCTGAATGAATCAAGAAAAGCCTGAACTCAGCTAAGTCGACTGAAGACACGCATAACGAATTGTGCCACTCTGTACTAGTCTAGAGAGTTTGTCAGGCTGAAGACACGGCTTTGAAAACGATAATAAATGCGAAATATAAACATTGCAAAGATGAATTTGTTTCTGTCAAAACGTAAGAAATGTATAGATCGTTGTAAACAATCAAAATCAAACCGTTCAGCTCAATTTCTCAGCATTGCCACTGATTTCAGACTGATTTATGAGTTCTTTACATAAGTTCAAGCTAATACACAGAAGTGTTCTGTCAGATTCGGATAAATGATTGTCACGGTGTAACGTGATGAATTATCTCAATGAGACACTGCCTTGTTTACTTATTTACAATAGAGTGCAAATAAGGCGATCACAGTAGTGTGCGCACTCTCGATCGCGCATATTCCGCCATTTCGTTCTGCCGTCAGCTACCGTACTCGCAGACTGTATCCACTGTAGACTATTCTATGCATTGTTAATGTTTGATTGGACGAAACAGCAGCATTTACAGTCTAAATACTGTCTGTGACTTCGATATAAAGTCTGGCACATGACCCTCTAAAGAGAAATGCAGAATGCTTTTTT